CTCTGTCTATCAGATCTAGTCCCTTAAATCTATTTCTCACTTCCACTGTATAGTCATAAGGGATTTGATTTAGGTCATACCTGAATGGTCTAGTGGTTTTCCCTACTTTCTTCAATTTAAGTCTGAATTTGGCAATAAGGAGTTCATGATCTGAGCCACAGTCAGTTCCCGGTCTTGTTTTTACTGACTGTATAGAGCTTCTCCATCTTTGGCTGCAAAGAATATGATCAGTCTGATTTCGGTGTTGACCATCTGGTGATGTCCATGTATAGAATCTTCTCTTGTGTTGTTGGAAGAGGGTGTTTGCTATGACCAGTGTGTTCTCTTGGCAAAACTCTATTAGCCTTTGCCTCGCTTCATTCCGTACTCCAAGGCCCAATTTGCCTGTTACTCCAGGTGTTTCTTGACTTCCTACTTTTGCATTCCAGTCCCCTATACTGAAAAGGACATCTTTTTTGGGTGTTAGTTCTAAAAGGTCTTGTAGGCCTTCATAGAACCGTTCAACTTCAGTTTCTTCAGTGTTACTGGTTGGGGCATAGGCTTGGATTACTGTGATATTAAATGGTTTGCCTTGGAAACGAACAGAGATCATAGGATGGCTTTGGGCTGTTCAGGGGTAAAGGATAGCTTTAGGCAGATAAAGATGTCTTTGGACCGTGGAAGACATGAGGGAGAGCTTTTTCTCCTGTTCCCTGGCACTGACATTATGCCTTTTTCGTTTCTACTTTTCTTGTGAAATCATCTGCAGCCAGCTCGTGGTTGTTAGATGACTGAAAATGCATTACTGGAAGAAATTGTAGTTTTGGAGTTTATTCCTTTTGTATGCTACATGGTTTTCTTTCCATTTCCCTGCCAACACAAGAGTATGTCCAGAATTTGAGATTCTGAGAACATGCTCCATGAGTAAAAACACATTTCTCACTCTCCAGGTACCTTGGAAACTTCACTTGGCCATAAGGATGCATATATGCTCCTTGTTTTACAGAAAACAACCACGATGTTCTGTTTCAGGCTGACTTCCTTATAGGCTCTTCCCAAGAGTGTCCTCAACGGGAACCCATGTTTTCATTTTAAAAAAATGGAGGTATGCAGGAGCAGTTTCAAGAGCTTCACTGGAGCTGTGACAGTTACGAACTTATTAGGGGAAGGAAAGGGTAAGGTCATTCAGTGCAAACAAGGCTATGATCAAAAGCCCAGAGTGGAAAGTGACCACGGTATGTAGTGAGGACAGAGGTTCTTCCTGTTAGATATATCAATATGAGGAAATACTTGTTTTCAAAAGTCATTGGAGACAGTGGTTGGAAACGGAAAGGAGGTTGCAATTGTCACAGTCCTTTATTTATTTTTTTTCTGGCTTCTTTTTAATGTTCCACCAAGTTTATTTTTTCTGCCCTAGATAATGGGGGCAGGGTCCAGGGGGCTCTGGGGGTGAGAGGGGAAATTCGAGTTCCTGAACTCCAGGCTGGCAATAAAATCAGTGTTTGGGGGATCAGAGGCCAGATGTTAGATTGGCCAGAAAGATAGATTACCGCAATGAAATAGGCATGAGATTGCAAACACTTGGTCAGTCATGATTCCACCTCAGATGTTCTCTTTTTAAATATTTTAAAAAATATTTTCTACCTGAGAGAAGAGTCACCATGGCTTTGTTATTCACAGAGTGATTCGTTACCCTCATGTATTTCATTCTGGCATAACCTCCTTACATAGCCTCCTATGTAAGACTTTCATAATTTTATTGAATAACAAAAGTGGTATTGGATCTGTCTTTCCTACTCTTCCCTCCTGCACAGAATTTTAAAACTGAATGTTCAGAAGCATGGGGAATTTTATTTTTAAAAATTCAGCCGTTTGTAATCATCCTTGAAGGAAACCTGCTCTGGGTTTTGAGAAAACCTTTTGATGAGCGCATTTGCCCAAAGGAAACACCGAAATTGTACTCTGAACTTATGTTAGTAAACACAAAAAGGTTTTTTTTTTTTAACTCTTAATATATTTTCAAAAAATTTTGTAAACTAATATAAAACTTTATTTTGTGCAGAATCACATCCCTGTGTGGTTGATGATATCACCTGTGTTTATAAATCTTTTTTTTTTCCTTCAACTGGGCCAAAGAGAATGGAATTTGACTTCAGGTTATGACAACATTCCCAAAAGCACTCTTACATGGACAAGAAGAGAGGTCAGGTTAGGGATATCCAAAGAGAGAACCTGTCCAAGTCTCCCTGTGAGCGCTAATACTGGCTACATCAAAATTTCACTGTAATTTCCCTCCTTCTCCCTGCCAGCCCAGAGCCTGGCTATGCTTTGCAAAGCTAAGGGAAAGGCTTCTATCTCCAAGGGCCACAGGGAGCACAGGGAGGACAGCAGCTGCCCAGGGAAGACAGGTAAAGGATAGCAAGAAGTTACCATCAGAATTTGCTGGGGCAGCGCCTGGCTGGGTCATGAGTCGCTGTCAACACAGATTATTGGGAAGTGTAAGCAGGCATTTTTCAGAGTCCCCCAAACTAAACGGGCCAGAGAAGTGCACTTAGCAGAGGCAGTCACACAAAATACAGAACACTGCACCTTGAACCTGGAGGTTTCAGAAGCGAGTTACCCTATCTTCTCTCTCCTGCCCACATTAAAACTGGTCACTTCCCTCCTATAGTCTACCCTAAAGAGCTTCAGCCTTCAATCGCCAGACTGTGGAGTTTCCACGTATTTTAAGATTCACCTGACAACTTATAAATCTGTTTGTTTTTTTTAAATCATTCTTTCAGAAGAAGTTTATTTTAAGAGCTGTCCTAACCTTTGTTTCCTGCCTTTAACATAGTCTTCTAAACCTGAGGGCTGATTGTAAAGACAGCAACTAAAAATTTTAAAATAATCTATACAGCTTCTGTATTTGCTAAATTTTGTTGTCAAATATTGTGAAATCCTAAATAGGTTTTATTGATTGATTCTCAATTACCTACCTGACTTTTGGTTTTTAAAGGACACCTTTAAGTTAGCTAAGCATAATTACCCTGTACCTAAATCAGGATTCCCTTCTATTTCTTCAGTTTTTTAAAAAAGACTGATGCTAAAAAAAAAAAAAAAAAAAAGACTGATGCTTACTAGGTTTTATTATAGTCATCAGCATGTGCACTTAGGAAGGTTACCACTTCTATTCTGCACGGGAGTGCTTCTCAGCAGAAGTCCTCCACATCTTTTTCAGAAGTCTCTAATGACAGGTTTACCTTTGGGGGCCTTCAGTTACCCAGTTTCACTCTTGTTCTCAAAGCCAGTACCAACTAATAGTGTGCTTTCACATGAATCTTGACCTTCTGGCATACAATGTCTAGAGATTTGATTACCAGCAAATCTTGTGGCCTGGAAATTTACATAACTGAAGGCTTGAATTTGGATTTTGCTCTGAAGTTTGGTTTTGTTCCACCCATCAGCTTTTTGAAAGCCTAAACCAGGTCTTAAGCTTCTTTTGTTTGCACACACACCCCCCCACACACCGCTCACATAGGAGTGGGCAATTAGAAGAGGGATTCAGCAAATGATGTACCATCAAAGACTGATGCTCGGGAACTTTCCCAAGGCTGAGAATACTTAACCTGTAGCAAAACAGCACCTGAGAAAGGTCTCAGCTGTGCTCTGTCTAGAAACTAACAAGGGTATCCAGTTGCAGCACCATCTTATTTTAGGGTTGGCTCTGGTAAAGTCATTCACTTGGTCAACATTTCCTGAGCACCTAAGGTGATCTGGGCCCTCAGAGCTGAAAAGGACATAAACCTATCACTCCATGATGGCAGGATGTAATAAGGGAAAAGATTCTTTCATCAGTAATAACTAGACAGTGTGGCAAGTTCATGATAGTGATCAACATTCATTTGTAAGGCTTCTGTTTCATTAGAGTCACGGAGAAGGAAGTCACATCCTGGGCAATTAAGGGTATATCAGTTATCTCCCCTCTCACTTATTATTATTTTTTTTTTAACTAAAGGAAAAGGCTCATGAGGTAGTGGAGAATGTAGACTCTGTCATACTTGGGCAGAATGCAGTCCAGTTCTAGGGCAAAACTCTGATCTCTAGTTCTTCATGGATGAAATGGAGGTCTGATAGGATAGATGGGATGATTAAGAATTAATGTAAAGTATATAACATGGTGTCTTGCACAGAATGGGTAATGTTATGTAATACATGCTTTATACACAATTGACTCCCCTCCAAAGCTCTGTTTGTTTGGACTGTCAGTCGACAATATGTTAACTTAAAAATGAAATGAGAAATAAATATAATAAGTGAAGTAGAAAAACAGAAAGAAAAAAGAATAATCAATACTTCGAGCTGAACTCCACACTGAACAAGGTTGCCTAGGTTGCTTCCTTTCCCCCATGCACCTAGACACAGGGTGTTCAGACCACTCTGGATCAAATGTAGCATCCTCTAAAGCAAATTGGAAGAAACAGGTAATAGGCTCCATAAAGTCCACAAAACCTATAGTGGTACCTTACCTGAAAACAAATATTTATTTACTTTTTCATTTAAACATTTTTATTTAATGAATAAAGATGTTCCTGGTGGCTTAGATGGTAAAGTGTCTGTGTACAGTGCAGGAGACCCGGGTTCGGTCCCTGGGTTGGGAAGATCCCCTGGAGAAGGAAATGGCAGCCCACTCCAGTACCCTTGCCTGGAAAATCCCATGGACGGAAGAGCCTGGTAGGCTACAGTCCATGGGGTCGCAAAGAGTCAGACAGTATATTAATGAATATACTTCTAAAAGCAAATTAGAGGAACAAATCATATAATTTTCTTAACATAATATGTAATTGTGAATGAGGTGAAAAAACAAAGATAGCAGTGTGTGTATACACACACACACACACACGTGTGCACACACACAGAGATAAGATCTTAGGTCAAGCAGAGTAGACAGAATATGACATTCCCTGGAGAACAGAGGAAGTCAAATTTGCCGTACTAAGAAGAGACATTGATAAGAATAATCTATGAAAAAAGTGTAATTTAAATGAGTTTCATGAAATGTGAAAATGGGAAAAAGTAGTAAAACTTTTTCAATAACTTTACACATGTACATATAATCAATTACTGAAATAATTTCTTTCTAAACAAGAAAATCCCTCCTGCCACGTTGGACATTTGTGTAGACCTCAGAGTCCCAGTCAGAGCCTGTGGAGCTGTCAGTGCCCACAGCACGTTGCTCAGCTGACCTCCTTCCTACCCAGTGTGTCCGGAGTTTGCTATGTTAGGACTTCTTCCTAGCACTACTCATTTTCTGCTCCTGGTTCTTCCACTTTTCTGGCTGCCTCCTCTATTTGAACAACTTCTTCTTTGGGTTCTTCTAGGTCCTCTTGTGAGCACTGTGACATATCGTTTCTAGCCCCAAAACTGACAGCAATAACTAGAGCTAAAAACATTGCTAAGAGAAAAAGGGGGACTATGTACAGTATCTTCTCAAGGCTCTGGCTTTCATCTTTATTTTCACTGTTTCTGCCAAAATTACCAACCTCTGCAGCATGACTTTTGCTTTCCTCTTCACTTGGATTATTGTTGATACTGTCCCTTGGTTTACCAGGGGAGCCACTGTCTATACTACCCCCATTACCAGGAGCTTTGCAGTCAGGGGGCGCATAGCCATCCTCACAGTGGCAATGCCTCAAATTGTTGCAAACTCCTCTCCCGTTACATGTCTCTGCTGATGGGCAGTCATACTGGAGCACAGCATAATGACTACAGGAGTGATTCACGCAGACTTTGTGTGGGGCACAGAGAGTGCCAGTATGCGCATCTCCATCATCAGGGATATCAGCAGTGTCATAGGCATCCATGCTCCAGCACCAGTCATCTCTGTGAGCGACCTGGATCAGTGTATGATTGGGTTTGAGTTGTGGTATCTGTCTAACATTTGTACATATGAGTTTCCCACAAAATATGTTATCATCTGCACACTTCAGATATGTTAACCTCGGTGAGCTGGTGGTACCACAGTTTCCAAACCGGTCCCCTCTTGTGTTCATTGAAACGTAACAGTTTTCTGGGGCAGACCTTGCAGGGGACCCATATATATCCATGCATTGATTGTCAGGGTTCTTACACCGACCGCCAGCACAGTAGTGAATTCTATCACACATTGTACCATCGAGCTTATAGCTGTCTCTGGGACATTCTCCCGAGGAACCATTACAATACTCTGGGAGGTCACACTCTCCCAAAGCAGCACGGCACATGAATCCCTTGTGTCTCAGGCGACATTTATCACAGCAGAGCCCATCACTACACTCTGCCTGCTCTCTCAGCCTACATCTGGTGTCACAGCATGGGTGCGTTTCACACTTAGAACCACAGTCACACTGCTCATCTCCTTCTACAATGCCATCGCCACAGCGGGAAGCCCTCCGTAAGCGGCCTTTGTGCCCAGGCCTGTTAAACAGGCAGGCCCCCTTGTGTTCCCAGAGGAACTGGTGGAAGAAGTCAGAGCTGCAGTTGCTGAAGCCACTTTCTTTAGTGATGTTTTCACGCATGAGGCAGAAGGGCCTATCTTTACAAATGCAGGCCAAATGGTCGTGCCGAATACCCAAGTTGTGTCCAAGCTCGTGGACCATGAGTGCTGCAAACAGGAGGACATCCTCGTGGTGGAAGGATTCCACGGCTGCTGCAAAATCACTTGAGCAGGCACCACTGAGAAATGCCTGCCCCATATCCTCTTTAGGATGCTGTCCCACGATCATGTGGGCAACATCATGCTTCACACGGTGGAAGAGCTTCTCTTGTCTCCAGCTGTTGAAATTCCTGAGTGCAACTTGCAGGTCCACGGGGACCTCTGTGAGGTCCCCCTCAGTCCAAATCTCCACTCCAGCCAGCACCACCTCTGTGTTTATTCCCCTTGTGAAGCTGTTGGCCAGAGCTATGATGTCCATCACTCTCTGGACTGTCTGATTGACGTCACCGCCCCACATTTGGAACCGCTGGTTGTTGACCACGACAAACATCTCCACGTACTTGGTACGTGACCACAGGTCGGATGTCACGTGCCAGCTGTGAGGCTTGGCGCTCTGTGGTTGCCGGCTGGTGGACGCCACTTGGCTGTCCTTGGACGTGACGCTGCAGGAGACTTGAGCTTCGTGGCCCATGGCGTACAACACGTGCTCAAACCGTTTGGAAGAGTGCACGGGCTCAACGCCATAGGACTTTTCCTCCTTAATCAGGAGGCCCCTGAGGCCTGAACAGGTGTTGACAGAAACAAAAGAACCTGGGACTCCTTCTATGTAGCCTTCATAGTGACAGTCCTGCGAGATGAGAGGCATTTCTTGCCCCAGGATGCCATTGTGATAGCTGAAGACCGGGAAGTTATCCACAAAATAGTCTCTCTTCACCGTCAGGTGAATCAGCTGCCTCTGGCCCTGCATAAATAGCATATAGGAGAGCTTTTCCACTTGGTCTTCCCTTCCTTCCACTGTCAGACTCTTGGGAATGACTATTTCATAGGAAGAGTGATATAGTGAGCCCAGGTCACAGTACAGGCTTGGCAGAGAAATCAGTACCAAGAACAACAGGATCCCCAACCTGGCACATGAAAGTCCTGGCACCAGGGCCAGCCTCAAGCCCTTCATCTGAGGAGCCCAAGTTTGAAGCACTCGGATAGCCTCAGACATAGCCACTTGCCTTTTCGGTAGAGAAGGCGGTATAGAGGCAGAGTCTCTCCCAGATGCTGCCGCTGGCGTGGCCCTGGTGAGTCCGTTGATGATGCAGGGCTTGTGTCCAGCGGCAGCAGCTGCTCTCCCTGACACACACACTGTCTGTCACAGGTACTCACTTCAGCTCTGTGCTGGCTGCACAAAGGGTGGCTCTTGCCTGCCTCTCAGAGGTCAGCCTCTGGCTGTGTCCTTTCTGGTCTTTCGGATCTCTCTGTTATGCTTCAGATAGTGTCTTTTCTCTGTGACTTTCCTCCACACCCTCAACTCTAGTAGTTAAGGTCTTCCTGACATTAGGAAGAGCTGTAATCATGCAGTGGGACTGCAAACTCTAAAGTGAAAGACTGTACCTTGAGAAAGGAAACAAAACCTCCATGCCTTCCTCAACTGTACCGCAAGGATCACCCCTCCCCCACTCCTCCTATCGTCCGTTGCTCAGCTGCCTCCTAATGTTCTAGACCAGGAGGCTTGGAGGTCTTCAGTGGGCACACTCCATTGCCCATTTCCTCTCTTCTAAAACTCTTGTTCTGTATCACATGGACATTGTAACTAGATGTAACATGGCATTATAGATGCAATGCACAACAGACCAATCTGTCAGATAAAGCCAGTGTGGTACCTGCCTTGTGCCCCCAGATTGATAAACCCCAGTGTGCTGGTCACCCGTGGGACAAGTGACATTCCCTGCTTTTTAAAAACATCATCAGAATTCAGTTTATCAAGTTCTGTTTATAACACGGTGTGTATTTATAACACTAAAAGTGTGTATGGGAGATGCCAACAGAGCAGTCTCCCCTGTGTGCAGTTATCGGAACCTTGGTTGGTAAGTATCTCCAGACCTGTTACCTGGGCTGGTCCTGGCATAGCAGCATCTTAAGACCATGCCTGTTGAAGACTAGGATTCCTGAAGTCTCCCCTGTGTTTGTATATGACTTCTGTGTGTTCGGTGGCCACTTCTGTTTGTTCCTCCTTATACACTCTCCCAGTTCTAGAAGAGTGCTTGTTGAAGAGTAGACGAACAAGAATCATTGAATGAATAAACAGCTTCCAGGTATGGTTGCTGCGGTGTCTTATTTGCTATACCTTCTGTGTTTCTACTTGGCTTCGTGCCTGCCCTGAATATCTGTAAATGTCTTCAGAAAAACCCACGAAAACCATGCTGGCACAGACATGATCTCAAAATGTACTTCTTTCTACATTTTGCTGTTCAGTTCACTCTCCTAATTTCTTCTGACCTCATATTTCACTGAGAAAAATATTAATAGAAGCAATCAAAAGACTACCTCCACATATAGACACTAGCTGAGTCCACTAGCTGTATCTGAAAGTTCCCCCCACTGTCGTGAATAAATTGTCCTTGCTCCAGTCTAAGACCAATCCTTTTACTTGTGTGTGGAATTTCTTTCCCTTTTAATTTCTCATGGACTACACTCTTGCATTTCTCCCTTCTCTCTTTTACATCTTCAGCATGTGTTTGTCTGCTGGATCCAGTCTTATTATTTGCTGTAATTTCTCACCTTTATAAAATCATCCCTCTCAGCCCACATCACCTTCCAGTCACCATCTAGTTTATTATCCTTTTCTCTGTTTTACAATGAAATTCTTTGAAAGGGTATAGAGACATTCTGTTCCAGTTTGTATCACTGCTTTCTTTATTTTCTCAAATTTTTAAATTTTGACTCCTAACACAGTCACAAAATATGCATAAAGCATAAATGTGCTTTTCAGTGAATTAGTATTAAATAAAATGAAAAAGACAATACCTTATGATTTCACATATATGAGGTTCCACAAATAGCCAAGCATAGAATACAGGTTACCCTGGGTAGGGTAATAGAGGAATGGGGAGTTCTTGTCTAATGGGTACAGACTTTCAGTTTAGGATGATGAAAAATTCTGTAAGTGGATATTGATGATGGTTGCACAACAATATGAATGAACTTAATGCCAGTGAACTGTGCACTTAAAAATGGTTAAGATGGTTAATTTAATATTGTGTGTATTTTACTGAAAAAGAGAGGAATAACAAGGAAGGGAGGGAGGGTGAGAGAAACAGCTGTGTTAAGTACAACCCTGATGAGGTAATCAATACTTTTAGCTTCATAGAAGTCACCTACGTGCCATTGCCAATCTCATGCCCTCCTGCTTCAGAGAGATCATGATCTTGTCTTTTATGATAACTACTTCCTCACCTTCTTTATTATTTTTGCTTCCTAAATGTGTACATCCCCAAGTTATATCATTTTACTTTAGTTGTCTTTTGAAAACAGCTTTATTGAGATATAAAATCACATACCAGAATGCTCATCGTTTAAGGTATACAATTCAGTGGTTTGTAGTATGATTGAAAAGTTACGCAGTCATCACCACAAGCAATTGTGGAACATTTTCCTCATGCCAAAATAAAACTCCCATGTCCATTAGCAGTCACTCTCCATTCTCTGCTCCCTGCAGCCCCTAGTCACCACTACTCCTTTCTATCTCTATGATTTTGTCTATTCTCGACAGTCCATAGCAATGGATTTCTATATTATAGTTGTAGTCCTCTGTGATTGGCTTATTTCACCTCACATAAAGTTTTCAAAGCCATATCATAGCAGATACCAATACTTTATTTCTTTTTGGCAAAATAACATTCTTTTTATATGGATATATCATAGTTTTTGATTCATCAATTGATGAACATCCTGGTTGTTTCTACTGTTTGACTATTATGAATAGTAGTGCTATAGACATTTCAGTACAAGGTTTTGTATGAAGTGTGTTTTCATATCCTTTGAATGAATACTCTGGAGTGGAATTGTTTGGTCACATGATAACTATGTTTAGCCTTTGAGGAACTGCTGAACTGTTTTCCAAAGCTGCTGGACAATTTTACACTCCTGCAAGAAATGAATGGGGATTCCAATTTTTCCACATCATCATTGGCATTTGTTATTGTCTTTTTGATTGTAGCAATCCTAGTGGATATTAAGAGGTGTCTCATTGCAGTTTTGATTTGCACTTCCCTAATAATTACTGATGTTGCACAGCTTTTCATATGCTTGCTTGCATGCTCAGTCACTTCAGTCATGTTCAACTCTTTGTGACCCTGTGGATTGTAACCTGCCAGGCTCCTTGAGCATTGGGATTCTCCAGGCAAGAATACTTAAGTGGGTTGCCATGCCCTCCTCCAAGAGATCTTCCCAACCCAGGGAGTGAACACCATGTCTTCTCGTCTCTTGCATTGCAGGTGGATTCTTTACCCACTGAGCCACTGGGAAGCCCAGGTGATATTTTTATTGCTCACTTATTTCTTCTTCAGAGACATGTCTATTCACATCCCCCTTCATGGATCACAGCCTTATCATAGTAGAAGGGCTTGCGTAACACAATAAAGCTGTGAGCCATGCTGTGGACCACCCAAGACAGACAGGTCATAGTCAAGAGTTCTGAAAAATTGTGGTTCATTGGAGGAGGAAATGGCAACCCACTCCAGTATTCTTGCTAGGAGAACTCCATTAACAGTATGAGAAAGGCAAAAAGAGATAACACCAAAATGTGAGCCCTCCAGGTTGGAAGTGTCCAGTATGCTACTGAGGAAGAACAGAGGGCAATTACTAATAGCTCCAGAAAGGAGGAAGAGGCTAGACCAAAGCAGAAATGACACTTAGTTGTGGATGCGTCTAGTGGTGAAAGTAAAGTCCAATGCTGTAAAGTACAATACTGCATAGGAACCTCGATGAATCAAGGTAAATTGAATGTGGTCACACAGAAGATGGCAATATTGAACATCCACATCTTAGGACTCAGTGAACTGAAATGTATGGAAATGGGTGAATTTAATTCAGATGACCATTATATTTACTACGGTGGGCAAGAATCCCTTAAAAGAAATGAAGTAGCTCATAGTCAACAAAAGAGTCCGAAATGCAGTACTTGGGTGCAGTCTCAAAAACGACAGAATGATCTTTGTTTGTTTCCAAGGCAAACCATTCAGTATCAGAGTAATCCAGGTCTGTGCCCTAACTGTTGTTGCCAAAGAAGCTGAAGTTGCTTGGTTTTATGAAGACCTACAAAACCTTCTAGAACTAACACCAGAAAAAGAAGTCCTTTTCATCACTGGGGATTGGAATGCAAAGTAGGAAGTCAAGAGATACCCAGAATAACAGGCAAGTTTTGCCTTGGAATGCAACATGAAGCAGGGCAAAGGCTAACAGAGTTTTGTCAAGAGAACATGCTGGTCATAGCAAACACTCATTTCCAATAACCTGAGATGACTCTACACATGGACATCACCATATGGTCAATACTGAAATAAGATTGATTGTGTTCTTTGCAGCCAAAGATGGAGAAGCTCTATACAGCCAGAAAAAACAAGACCTGAAGCTGACATGTGGCCCAGACCCTTATTACAAAATTCAGGCTTAAACTGAAGAAAATGAGGAAAACCACTAGTCCATTCAGGTTTAACCTAAATCAAATCTGTTAAGCTTATACAGTTGAAGTGATGAACAGATACAAGGGATTAAATATGGTAGACAGAGTGCCTGGATAACTATGGACAGAGGTTTGTAACATTGTACAGGAGGCAGTGATTAAAATCATCCCCAAGAGAAATGCAAGAAGGCAAAGTCGTCATCTGAGGAGGCTTTACAAATAGCTGAGGAAAGAAGAAAAACGAAAGACATGGGAGAAAGGGAAAGATATACCCAACTAAATGCAGAATTCCAGAGAACAGCAAGGAGAGATAGGAAAGCCTTCTTCAGTGAACAATGCGAAGAAATAGAGGAAAACAATAGAACAGGAAAGAGTAGAGATCTCTTCAAGAAGATTGGTGATATCAAGGGAACATCTCATGCAAAGATGGGCATGATAAAGGACAGAAACGATAAAGACCTAACAGAAGCAGAAGAGGTTAAGAAGAGGTGGCAAGAATACACAGAAGAACTATTTTTAAAAGGTCTTAATGACCTGGATAACCACAATGGTGTGATCACTCACCTAGAGCCAGACATGTGGAGTGAGAAGTCAAGTGGGCCTTAGGAAGCATTG